TGAGGGATGTGAAACCCAAGTACAGGCAGGTTTTGCAAGAGCCACTGTGGGACTTGAATATACATAGATTTTGGTATCTGCAGGAGGAGGGGGTGACAGGGAGGGATTGGAACCAATCTTCCACGTGTGCTGAGGTATGACTGTAGCTGGAATTCAACTAACTAGAATTCTTATCAGCCAGAAGACCTTTTCTGACATTCCATTTCTGTGTACTAAATAACAACAAAACTCTTAAAAGATGCTCCCAGAATCAGTTTAGAATCATCTTCTGTCATGAAAACTGATGTTTAGAACCGTAAGTACAAGACACTGGAGAGTGCACAAGGAAAAATTACACTATAATCCCTGGACAGGATTTACCTAGGCAGAAGAATGGATTCAGATATTTTATGAATATTCTTAATAAAGATCGAAGCTACATGGATTTTCTTGTTTAATGTTGAATAGCTAGAAAGGTCAATTGACAAGAGCTCCCTATCCCGTGTGAGCATTGTATTTAACCAAAGTTTTCCCCTGCTTAGGATTATTTTGTTAGAATTTTAAGAGTGAAGAAATTATTCCTATTTTCTTTCCTCCTTTTATTATATATTTAAAAAGTAGCTAGACTTTTAAAAAAGTACAAAAGGGCATACAGCCTCCGGCGCCTCTCCCCCTCATAGGGAACTACTATTAAGAGTTGCTGGTGTAGGCTTCCAGAACATTTATCTATATTAACATCAACATTTGTTTCTATATATTTTTTCCTTTTTAAGTATAAGAACATACTACTATATGTCCCTTTCTGTACCTTGCTTTCCCCCACCTCACTTAACAAGGTAACTTGAATATTATTCCACACTATTCTACTTAGATTAAACTTGTTCTTTTATATGTCTAATGGTCGTTCATTGCAGATGTATGAAAATATATTCAATCAGTCTTTTCTTAATGGCCATTTAGGTTGTTTCCAGGCTCTTGCTATTATGAACAAAGTTTGAGCGGGCAGTCTCCTACATACACATGGTAGTGTAGGACGATTTCTATGAAGTAGAACTGCTGAGACAGAGGGAATGGAAATCACTGATTGCCAAACTGACAGCCAACAGGGCTATACCAGCTTAATGTATCTTCATAGTTTGTAAGTGTTTGTGTGTTTGCTTCTCCACACCCTGGCCAACACTGTACAGCACCCAAAAAAAAAAAAAAAATTCTAAAAATCTTTGCCAATCTGATAGTGAAAAGCAACAGTGTATTTCAGGAATTAAATGTGCATGTCAATATTTCAGTGCTTGAATGGGTGTTTCTTTGATTCTGAATGAACTTGAGCGTGTTTTCATAGGTTTAGAAAATATTTGTATTTCCTTTTTCTGTGAAATGCATTTTTATTTTGGATATTTAAAAAAATAATTTAAGAAGAAACAGAACAGGCTCGGCGCCTGTGGCTCAA